CTGTCTGCAACCAGTTTACTTAAGACGTCAAAAACAAACACCCATCTCTCTCACCTCTCAACGAGCGCTGACAGGAAAAGCTAAAAAACACAATTAGCGCTGAAGAGCGACTAGCAGCTCTATTATGCAGAAATGCTAATCCATCTCCCACCGAGGCGGCCGTGTTGGAACAATTAACGAGTGGAGGGTGTAATTCCTGTGTTTGATATTGAGATTTCGCAGAGGAGGGACTTTAATCAAGATCAATTGCTTCAAAGCAATCAGGTATTTGCCTTGTTTTGTCTGAACGTTTCACACCATGGCTCTCTAGGGATTTTCTCAGGAAAAAAAAAAAAAGAGTAATTGTTTCTTTCTTCTTCCTTTACTAACACTCCAGCCAGTTCAAATATACAGTAAAGATTTAAATGGGAAGTCTTCGCTGAAATTGTACAAATCAGCAAGCTAAAAAAACTGATAGCATAAGTTATTCAACCAACCCCACAGGAAAGAAAAATCACAAATGAGATATTTTTTAATCTCACAACTGTTTCTTCTAATCTAGATACCAGTGGAGGCTTTGCTTACCTCTTCTGCTTTGCAGTAAATCTCACATGTGTCTCCTCCAGAATGTCAGAACAGATATCAACAAAGTCTTAAAGTGATAGTTCACCCAAAAATGAAAACTCTGTCATCATTTATCCTCAAGCTGTTCCAAACCTGTATGAATTTCTTTCAGCTGTTGAACACAAAAGATGACATTTTGAAGAATGTTGGTAACCAAACAGTTGATGTTAGCCACTGTATGGAAAAAAATACTATGGATGTCAATGGCTACCGTCAACTGTTTGGTTACCAACATTCTTCAAAATCTTTTCTTTTGTGTTCAGCAGAAGAAAGAAACTCATACATGTTTGGAACAACTCGAGGGTGAGTAAATGATGACCGAATTTTAATTTTTGGGCGAACTATCCCTTAAAGTTTGCTTTGTTTTGACATGATACACAAAAGTCTGCATTCAAAAGTCAGAGATCTCAATATAAACTCTCCTCTCTTCTTTTTTTTTTTTTACATTTAAATTACTAAAAATTTCCAGTTTGGGTGAACAATCCTTTTAATGGAAGACTGTCATCATTTACTCTCTCAAGTTGTTCCAATCCAGACCTGTATGAATTTCTTTATTCTGCTGATAACCAAACAGCTGCTGGTAGCCATTGACCTCCATAGTATTTTTTCCCAATGGGCTCCAACATTCTTCAAAATATCTTCTTTTGTGTTCAGCTGAAGAAAGAATCTCATACAGGTTTAGAACAACTTGAGGGTGAACAAACAATGACAGAATTTTCATTTTTGGATGAACTATCCCTTTAAGTGTCCTGAGCTGTGAAATGGCCAACTCAGAGCATTATTTTCCTCTAGGATTTTATTTTTTTTTTTAGTTGAAAAAAAACTTTAATGTACCTAGCTAGACATGTATTTAAGAAACAAAAACCCAGTCTAAAGTGTCCTAGACATTGAAGCAATAAGTAAAAATGGTCAATGGGTAATGACTGTTGAAATCACTCCCCGGGGCTTGTAATGGCTACACAGAAGTCTACTCGTGACACATTCACAACACTCAGTGTTACAGGGCACAGCATTAAAATCATCTTCTGCTGTGCACAGGTTCAAACCTCACTCGGAGCGAAGGCCAGTTATAGACTCGGGTCTGGCACAAATCATGAGTTTGCACCTGTGCACTATTAACTGCACCCTCCCTGAGGACCGTTTGCTCGGATGGGGCTTTTAACTCAGTCTTTAGAGAGGAGTCTGTTCAGATGAGTTATTAAACCTTTCTGATTTCTTCCAGCGCTCCATCTTCATGCTTTTCTTCAGCAAATTAAAGAGTTATAGTAAAGCGAAGGCTGCTATTAAGTCTATAACATGTTAAATGACTTAAATGCATTTACTCTCTCTTTCTCTCTCTAAATAGATCTCTATATGCATATATCTATATTTGACACTATCATTACAAAATTGCAGAAAATTCAAGTTTGCCATCACAGGAATAAGATACACTGTAAATGTATATTAAAATATAATTACATTAAATATAACCTTTATATTGTAATATTTCACAATATGAATGTTTTGTACTGTATTTTCTAATAAATGCAGCCTTGGTGAACATAAAAGATTTTTTTGGGGAAAAATGTTTTTATTTGGCAAGGATGCATTCTATTAATCAAAAATGACAGTAAAGACATTTATAATGTCACAAAAGATTTCTATCTCACATAAATGCTGTTCTGCTGAACTTTCTATTCATCAAAGGGTTCTAAAAATGCATCATGGTTTCCACAAAAACAGTTTTCAACATTGATAATGATAAGAAATGTTTCTTGAACAACAAATCAGCATATTAGTGTCCCTTATGTGATATAGTTATATGAAATATAAAACATTTTAAAATAAACTTCTAATACATAAACAATCTCTAAAATATATTAAAATAATTGAAAAATATATTTTAAATTGTGATAATATTTCACAAATAATGGTTTCCACAAAAACAGTTTTCAACATTGATAATGATAAGAAATGTTTCTTGAACAACAAATCAGCATATTAGTGTCCCTTATGTGATATCATTATATGAAATATAAAACATTTTAAAATAAACTTCTAATACATAAACAGTCTCTAAAATATATTAAAATAATTGAAAAATATATTTTAAATTGTGATAATATTTCACAAATACTATTTCACTTTATTTTTGATCCAATATATGCAGCATACAACAATTTGTGAGACAAAAAAAATTGTTACTTTACTTTTATATAATTAAAAAAAAAAAAAGAATGTCCCCAAAAGGAGGTTGTCAAGTTTAGTTCACTTTTGGCTACAAAACTGTGCCTAAAAATTGGTTAAGTATGCACACACACAGACAAAATGACAGACATTTCCATTTTCCTCTCTCACTCACTGTATCTCTTTCTATCTCTCTTTTTCCTATTACGGAGGCCGGACTTTGGAATGGTTATTTAATTTAAATGCCATACAGTCATGTTGAGATGGATGGAAGCAATAGCACTGATAATGACTTTGATAATGAAAGACTCTTAATCCGAAAAGACTGAGAACTTGTGTGTTTTTGAAGAGCGAGACCAACCAGCAGCTCAATGGATGAGCGGAGTGTGAATATGCCTGAGTGCGTTTATATTCTGCATATGGAACATCTCTCGGACTGCTGGATTTCTGTGAATTGAAAGGTATCACGAAACGACCACTCCATCCTGCTGCACAGAGAGAGAGGCAGAGAGCGGTCACATCGCTCAGTCCTAATGTGCTTACGGAGCCATGCATTCATTAACGTCTAAAACAGCAGAAAGACCATTCTCAGCTTCAGAGGGGAACCGAATCAATTTATTTCTATTCCATTTATTAGCATTAATTCACACAATTGAACAGGCAGGATAAAGCCATTTTCTCCTGGCATAACCAGTCCCCAAAAGGAACAGAAGAGGAACAATAAAACAGAGATGATTATGCAAATTGTACCAACAGGTATATCAAATAAAAACTATGAGAGACATAATAACTCAGTTCCAAAATCTAGCAAGCTGCCCAATAATTGTGTGCATTATGGGTTTTATTGTTTCGTCTAAATACTGTCGCATCTAGGATTGTTATATCATCATACATGGCTACGCACTGACTATACAAAACACAAAAAAATCCATTATGAAGTGCACTGCCTCCTGAGTCTCCAGGCTCTTCTGTGATTGATGGCTTCCTGACCAATAAGCATCACCCTCCTGTGGCCTCCATCAGCGAGAGTCAAAGGTTGTGAAGTAGGTCATGTTTGCCTGACGCGTCCAATGGTATTTCTATGGTGACGGCTTGTTAGAAAGGCCTGTCAGGCTGGTGTGACGCAGCCCCGCTGCACCACTGAGCGCTGTCTTGCCCCATTTAATGCCCTTTCTCTCAGTTTAACGCTGCTGACATGCAAACTCTCCCATGGCAACCAATTTAGATGCCTCGGAAGAATCCATTTATCAATTAATAATGCCTAATACTTGACAGAAGAATAGCAAGTGTTTGAATTCCTGCTTGATGTGAGTCGCTAATGAACGCAGAAAGTCTTTCAAAGAGACACATGCCACAAAATGAATCGAAGAGATTTATCCTTTTAGACTTATAGTTCAGCCATCATTTCTTCAATATCATGCCATTACAAAGATGTATGACTTACTCCTGTGGAACGCTAAAATTTTTTTTTTTTTAATAAAATAAAATAAAATACAATAAAATAAAATAAAAATTATTATTGTTTTTAGTACCTTAAAATAAATAAAAATAAATAAATAAAATAAACTGCAAGTTAATAAAATTTAATAATTTAATAATAATTTATTTAACAATAAATACAATTTAAATAAAAATAATATTAAAAAAGCACATTACAAAATTACTAAAACATACTAAAACTACAATGATAATAAAAGCTAAATCTAAATATTAATAAATGATAATACATTTTCTATATTGATTTTTCACAGGTATTTTACTAGTATTATGAATTATGCATTTTATCTGGTTGTGCTTTAGGGTTGAACAGAAAAGGTACTGATAATTTTCTGCCTGAACATTATGTTTTTCTACTCATTTGTTTTCTTACATTGTATAAATGTCATATATATAATACTAAAATAACACTGATCATAAATTGTTAAATGATGCTTCTGTTTCACATGGTTCCAAAGTTGCACACAGGAAGCACAATACATTCAAAACAGATTATGCCACTGAAACTGAGTGTTTATAATTGGCTTCCTTCTTTATTAGTCATGTGTTAAAGATGCTCCACTTAACACCAACAAAGTTCAATTAAATATAATAAACACCTGCATGCACGCGAACGCACACGTGCATGCCTGAACTCACAAACAACAAACAACTGTGTTGTGTCTGTGTGTCTGTGTGTGTGTGTGTGCGCGTTCAAAAAAAGCAAATGTAAGAGTGAGAATATTGTCACATACCTGCTGTTGGACTCAAAATAAGTGCACTAAAAAAGCTTGACATCAGCATGTGTCCGTGTGCAACTTGAGACTACAGTACAGGTGAGAAGCACAGCGTGCTCACATTCCCTGAGTACATTAATGGTGCTAATAGGATCACGCTTACCATCTGTTCCCTGTAGCATGATGCACACTATAAATAGCACTTCAGCGGCAGGAGACTACGGGATTGCCCCGGTACTTCCTTGCCTTAAAACTGATCTCCTGTGCGACAGGAAAGATCAGGGGTCAGGGTTGATAAAGGGTGAGCCAAATTAGACTAATTAAACAGCATCTACTAGCAGCGTGGCTACAGATGTAGTGGCTTTAAGGTGTTTTTCAACACTTAAAGTTAACATGAAACCCATTTTACTTCCCCAGTGTAACGTATTACCAAGTGCCAAAAAAAACATGAGAGTAAGCGTTTGATTTTATGCATTGGGAGTTCAATAGATTTTGGATGAAAAGAGACAGTTATCCATAATAATAATAATAATAATAATAATAATATTTTGTACTGCATTCGAACCATAATTCTAATGATCAATATAAATTGCTTCCCTGTGTGGATAAAATAAAAAAATATATTATTTTTGTAGCTAAAACAAATTGATTGCAACCACTTACCTTTAAAAAATTTAGTAAATTCAATGAATCATTTTTTTTCCATTTAATTTAATACTTTAAAGCATAAACACATTTCATTACACCAAATACACAAAATAATGTTCTTTTTAGCAGCATCATATGACCCCTTTAAATATATATATATAAAAAATTAAAGTATTAAATTAAATTAAATTAAATTAAATAATAATGCGGTTTGGCTAAACTAAACTGCACTGCTTTCAAATCATAATTCAAATGATTAATTAAAAAAATGCCTCCCCATGTGGATAAAAATAAAATAAAATAATAAAATGAAATAAAATAAAATATGGACCAGATGAACTGAAATAATGTGCACCAAGAACATGTATTTAAATTAAATAGATTCCATTTTTATTTCATATTAAGTGTGAAGATGTGGGTGAAAGCAGAGCTGAAGGGCTAGCTTTGGCACAAACCCAATATTTTCCATATAAAGTCATTGCTGTGCCTGTAATGCAGCTATGGGCCGTTCTGGGTAATTACCGGAGCTCAGATAAGTTATCTGTATATATCTATATAAGTTAAAGCTATCCTCCAATAGCTTTGACCTAGAGCCAGCAGCATTGCATTCAAATCATAATTCAAATGATCAGTAAAAATAGTCTCTACATGTGGATTCCATGCCAGCCATCTATCTTGTGTTTAACAGCTTAGAAAGAAAGAAGAGAATCACAATATGTCTTGGTGTTTAACAGACGGGCCGTGCAAAACTCAATCAGAGTGCAGTGACTGCATCAAGCTAAATAATTCACAGCCAAAAGAAGCCCCTTCTCCACACTGTCCCATCACTCTCTCTCACACACACAACTTCTGTGTCTGTCTTTCCCTCCAAAGAGCACATCAGAAACTCACTGTCACACTGTGATCTACACAGTTGTCAAGCACTTTCCACAGTCCACTAGCCACTATTGAGGCTCTCCGTCAATGTAAACAGGTGCAAAAGCAACTTTTTCTATATCAGCCAATGGACAGTACTTGCCTGATATCCTGTTCCCAATCTATACACACATATAGACAGACAGATGCAACAGTAGAGAGGAAAATCAGATGCGAGTTAAAAACAGCATTTCATTACAATACCATTTTGCAATGCAATTTTTCATTTTTCTTCTGAATGCTGGGAAAAACAGGTTGGCATATGCCAGCATCACACCATAGAGGGTTCATAAGTTCCACCTCATTCTGAGACGTCACTGACTGCTAGATGGAATAAACGAGGCAATCAGACACTCACATCACAAAGAGTTATCTGGACTTAACAGGATATTACACTGCCTATAGTAGCCTGTACAAACAGCTTTCAACTGTATGGTGGTTAAACAACGGCAGGGTCAGATCATTTCATTAGCCTACTCTTTAGATCCTTTCCATGGCCACCCACTTCACAGACAGGCTGATTCACAAGGGCATGTTCATAGATAATCGCTGTTGGTATTTCCTGTTAGGATTTGTGAAACGCAAGAAAATGTGCTCTTCTCTTTTTGACAGAGTTATAGTGTTTCTCAGCTTAACATATCACTTGTTCCTCTAGAGGGGTCATGAAGAGCTATACCACGAGTTTTCAAAACAAAAAACAAAACAAAACACAAAGCAAAAAACAAAACAAAACACATAATACAAAACAAAACACATAAAACAAAACACAAAACAAAAAACTAAACAAAACACATAATACAAAAAACAAAACAAAACACATAATACAAAAAACAAAACAAAACAAAACACAAAACAAAAAACAAAACAAAACACATAATACAAAAAACAAAACAAAACAACACAACACAACACAAAACACAACACATTCAAATCACAAATAATTCAAATGATCAATAAAATTGCTTTCCCAATGTGGATAATAAAATAAAATATATGTACTGTTAATGCATGAATTCTGAATTAGCATAATTGCAAATGTTTTTATGCTTATTAACATTAAACACTATGAAACATAATTTTCATTAATTTAAATAAAGCTGAAATAAAACCATCTATCCCGAGATGAAAACCTTAAACATCAAGTCATGTAGTACTTTAATATATTTTTATAATAACAATAATAATCATAATAATAATAATAATAACAACAACGATTTTTAATTCTTCATTAAATTAGAAAAATTGCTCTCTGACCTCATTATAAATAAATAAATAAATTTTTGCAAAATAGTTGCTCTCTGACCTCTTTACTGTCACTGGCCATACAATGTTAATAAGCAATCAGCAGTACAATTAAATTACTGACCCTGGGCTATTAAACCCACCAGCTGCCATGTCATTTGACCTTTATCTCTATACAGAGAGAAAAAGACAATGAAAGAATGTTTGAGTAATTGTAGAAAAAAAAGAGGAGCTTATTAAAACCTCCAAGACAGACAGAGAAGCGTACAGAGAATATGATACATAAAATGAGTGACTGGACACCAGACAGAGCGAGAAAATGGCAAAAGAACACAAGAGAGAAGGATAAAGATGGAAATAATGGGCTGAGCAGAGAACGGCACTTTATCCTTTCATAATATTCCAGCCTGTTTGTGTGAAAGGGAAGTCAGAGATGACGGAATGACAGAACACACACACAAGATCACTATAACCGTCTAGCACACTGTCAAACACACAAATGTACACACTTGCACAAATATATTCATCATCCATTGCTGTATGCCGTCTGTGATGTGAAAGTACTGTGGAGGAAATGAAAGTTTCTTCTCTACGCTTTCCTATACTGGGAGCCGTCAAAACGAGACACTAACATGAGACACGCTGACAGGGCCTGCGTTCAATGTGCAGGCGAGTAAGAAAGCTATAGAAATGTATACAGAGCACACAATAGTGATATTTCATTGCTTGCTTTTACCAGGCTCAACCCAGCAGCTTTATCACTTCTTACCCTGATCCTGGAGCTGTGATTAAACCTGAGCAATTCAACTTGACCTTCACCCGATTCTACTGTATAGTGGACAATCATCCTGATCGATTTCAAGAAAGCCTTCTAACAAGGCAAGTGTAAGCTAAGTGATTTTTCTAGATACACTACTGTTCAAAAGTTTCATCATTTGTTATTTGTTTTTAAAGTAATAATACTTTTATTCAGCAAGGACATAATAAATTGATCAAAAGTGACTGTAGAGACTTGTGTTGTTACAAAAAAAATGTTTTAAATAAATGCAGTAAATAAAATGTTTTAAATAAATGCTTAAATTTGAAGCTGAGAAAAAAAAAATGTATCACCGATTCCACAAAAACATAAGCAGTAAACTGTGATAAGAAATGTTTTTTGAGCATCAAATCAACATATTAATATGATTATAATAATTATTAAAATTTCTGAAGGATCATGTGACGCTGAAGACTTTCAGCTTTGCATCACAGGAATAAATTACATTTTAAAATATATTCAAATAGAAAATATTTCAAATTGTAATATTTCACAATATTACAGATTTTACTGTAGTTTTAACTAGTTAAATGCATCCTGGGTGAGCATAAGAGAGTTCTTCAAATAAATAAATAAATAAATAAACTTGACCCCAAACTTTTGAACTGTACATGTGAGTATATATTTATGGATCGTTTTGTCAAAATAAAATTTCATAGAAATATATTAAATAATAATAATAATAATAATAATACATGTTATTAACAGACAGGGACTTTCAAAAAGGTCTCACAAATTTAAAGTAACAAGACTTTTAACTTTTTCCCCCAATTTTCAATCTGCTTTAGAGATACAATTACATTTCTTTTGATTTGAGTGCAGGTAAAAGCGTATAAAAATTAAATAAAAACAAAATGATTTTACTAGGGGAATAAAATGTTTTTTTTAATAAATCACTAAAATATCAATCATTTTCCTCATACAGTATAAAAGCATTTTTACTTATGTTTTAGTATCCAAATGTTAAAGTGAAGAATAGAAAGAAAAAAAAACTTTTAGATATATCAATCTATATATGTGATGTACATCAGTTATGCTCATCCTTAGTATTTCCTTTGAAGTTATCTTGAGTAAAACAGCTCCATATTTAACACAGCACGAAGTCCTGAAGTGGAAGCAATGCAACACATTTTACAGAATACAGATGTTTGATGCGCATAACCTCTATTTAAGGAGGTGCAGTTGTGTTCTCTTCACAAAGAAAACTGGACCTCTTCTCATGTGGAGGATTTCACCTGTTTGATGTACCGATACACCAAGTATCATTCCAACCACTGCTTCAGACCACCAGCGTAAAAAACAGGATTCAACTACCCTTAAATCTAGTGAACTGGTGTGCAACAGTGCATCAGAGGCTCCTTAATACTGATGTCGTGTTATTTCAGGAAGAACTTCAGTCTAATCTGACACCTTTGAGAGAGAAGCTTAGTTTGCTATTAGCGGCGAAATTGAGCTACGATCTGACTGCTCAACACATTAAGGTGCAAATGACGGTCCTGAA